ATTGGTTTGAATTACCCCCAGTTAATATGCTTCAATTGAACTAAACCAGTGATCAGTTCTCAGTTGTACCAGTTGGTCCGGTCCGGTTTTTAAAATCATGGTTGCAAGTTCCTTATAAATAGGATCAGAGGAGTACTAGTAAGTTTCATGATTTGAAGTTTTAGCCACCTTCAAATGTGTATTTGGTGAGAGTGTGTTGCCTAGGTGTGTCCATGTAAAAAGCATGTATATTGCACGTGAGTGTGTGATAGCTACGAGATCGAGTATATGGGCCTGTTTGGCAACCTATTCTAGGAATAGTTTTTGTTCTCCAAAACAAATGAACAAAAAAATTTATTTGGTAATGTGTTTTTAAGAAGTGTTTTAGAAAATAAAAAAATAAAATATTGTTCTAGACAACAGAAAAAATGGAAACAATTTTAAGGTGTTTTGGGATTTTTGTTTTGGAGAACAAGGGAGAATAAGAAAAACACTTATTTTTACTATTTTTTGTTCTCAGAACATGTTTTACAAAACATCAATTTTTAGAATAATAAAATAAAAACAATTTCAAACAACCCCTATATCTTGGCATTTGTACCTTGCAGGTGTGCACTAGGTACTTTTGTGTTTATGGTTGGCATACTCAGGATGAACTTGTTGAGCGATGTGAATGCTAAAATGATTAATGTTTTAGTGATGGCTTCCAACATTTCACTAAATTTGTTGATATTTTTTAATGCAATTGAAGTCATCTCTTTGAATTTATTAGCGAAATATGATTCTGTGGATGGAGATGTGATTAAAAGTTAGTGGATCAATTCTAACATTAATTTTGAGTTTTATACATGTAGGGATGTCCAATTTATGAGCCAAAGGTGAAATTTTTGAAGCTAGAAATTAAATCTAAAAAAGAAATTATGCACGGGTCATGTTTGCTGCAGCCAAAACATGTTTCGTTATAACAAATCTTGAATTTTAGTAAAATGCACAACTTTGATTTTAGCAAATTTTCAGGGTTTAGGGACCTTATTTTTAACTCATCTTCATCTCCAGCAATTGCAGAATGTCCAAATTTAAGAAAAGAAGCCAAAGAAGGGTTGGAGAAGCTTGTGATTAGTGAAAAATCAAGGGTTTAGCTCAAAATTGCTTTGGTTAAGGTTTTATACCCCTTCCTCTCTCTATTTAGATATATACATTGCTGATATTTGCTGTCATTAGAGCCTTGAGTGGCTGATTTTCTCTTGATCTTGTGCTTGTTTGTCTACTTAATGCTTGGCCATCATTGAGTGTGAATTTGAAAGTTTAGGTTTTGCTTTGAAAAAGAAAAATATAAATTAGACCATTAAATTGAGTAATGTGAAATTATAATTTATTCTAATTTGCCAATAGGATATGAATACACCTATCGGATTCGTATAATCATATTAGAGTGAATTTTATGATTTTGTGATTCTTCAGTAATTGTGTTGGGATAACATTTTTTTAATTCAAGAGAGAGGTTTAATTAATCAAAAGATAATTATTTCTATTAATACTCTAAATTACCAAACTAATATTAAGTGCATTTAATTGAGTAATTACATGCTCTATAAATTAAAAAGGGGATTAGCCACTCTAGTTTGCCTTGACAATTGTGGTTGCTGGAACTTTAATTTTAGTGTATTTTTTATATAAATTCAATTTTATTTTGCAAAATCAAATCCAACTTTGTTTTGCTCAAATTAAATGAAATGGAAAATTTAATGCCTAATTAACAATTAACTTAATTGATTTTTTATCGGAATGACCTTGATTTACTATATATTAATATTTTTGTGACCCATACACTTGTGAAATCTGTACATTTTTGTGTCCATCATTTACTTTCTGTTAGTATATATGCATTTCTACCTTTGTTATATTGTGATCGTTTACAGTTCCAATTACTAGGATAGCAATATCTCCCCCCCCCCCTTGTCTTTAATTTGCGAATTTTCCAGGAGAAGGCATTAACATCTAGAAAAAGAAGGCTGTTTAGCTTATTGTGGTTCACCTTTTGTTTTAGCATACCAACGGTGATTGCAACTTGGTTCCTTGAGGAACAAGTTGGGTTTAAATGAAACCCCTTGTTTTGTTTAGAGGCTTAAGATCAATACCCTTTTTGGATTTGAATGTTCCATATATATATATATATATATATATGTCTCATTTATGATTGTTTCAGGCTGAAGTTGGTGTCGATAGTTAGGTCTATAGCTCGAGAAATATGGGCCAATATGAACACTGTTATAACAAAAGGCTGCCAGAATGCCCATATTGAAGTGCTTTTTACTTAAAAATGCTCTGAAAACATGAGGCGAAATATGCCGAAGTGTTTTTTAGTCAAAAACACTGCAGCATCTATAGGGAGGGGAGTCTCTCCTTTTTCTTTCCCTCCATTTCTCTCCAGTTCCCTAATCTTCATCATTCATATTATTTTATTAAATATTTTTAAAAATTATAAAAGTAATAAACGGTGAATATTGAAGAAGTGGAGAAAAAAAAAGAGAAAGAAAAGGAGAGACTCCTCCCCCCATATTGGAGGTATTGAACTTAAATATAGACAGGAGCATTTTTTTGTTGTTGAGAAAAACGCTCTCGTTTGTTATAAAAACAAGAATATTAATAATTTAACATAAAAAGGAAACTTAAAACTTATTTTAAAAAATTAACATTATATTAGCCTTAGTTTGAAAGAAAATAAAATATGATGAGAAAGACAGGGTGATTGATAAAGCCATTGATATATAGAAATCTTCAAAATAGTAAAATAGTCTAAAACCTCACTAAAATAACATTGTAAAAAATAAAATTCGAAGATTTGAAACATTGAAGCCGACGCTATCATCATCGTAGTTGCCAATTTTGGAGAAAATTAAAATCCAGGAATGGACGTTCCACAACGTCGAGATGAGGACAATTTTAAATTAATTAATATTAAATTATCGCAGCACGTGCATAGGTTGTTTCGATAAGAAGAGCGGACCTGAAAGTTAAAATATTTCATGAAAAATGACAGGATATAAAACATCACAAGATAAATTTTATAAGTATAATATGACCATGTAATAGAGGAAGATAAAAACCAGTCAAAATGGATATGTTATTGAATGTTTGCAACATATAAAACGACTCTCTTTGATAGACTTTTTTATTGATATATTTTATATAAACATTAGACTTTTTCACAATTTATTGTCTTTTGTGTGATTGGGAATTTTTTTTTCCATGATATTTGGATTTTGGACAATGAGAATAAGTAGTGTAAAGTGATACTTAAAAGATTTTTGACAACCTAGGTAATTCCTATATAGTAATACCTTTAGGTCCCAGTTGGGATGAACAAATTCGGGAATGAAAAATGTTGATTTCAAAATATGTTTGGTGCTAAAAAATCTTGATTTCGTCAACTTAAAGTTTCTTCCACATACTTCCTATATTACCTATATGGAGCTAGGTCTCTTCCTTTTATTGGAAAATCAACTAGAATACATGAAGAACGCATTTGTTCAATGTCTTTGAAAATTAAAAGTCAAATTATGTACATACAAAATAAAAAAGAAAACATAAACAAAAGAGAAAAAACAGGGATAACAAAAATTTTTGTCCTTAAATTTATTTTAGTAATCAAGTCCATATTTTATAACCACCCACAATAATTAGTCCTTATGGTTTTAGTTCCCTTCAAACCATAGATTAATTCTGTATGATTATAAAATGTTAAGGACTTGATAAAAATTACACTTGAGACATCAAATTGATAATGAAGATAAACTTAAACTACTAATAGTTTTATTATATATGGAAGTTTGGTGATTGGGATTATGATTCTGTTATATATTATTGGAGACTTTAGCGTGTAATGGTTGACCAGGTAGGCAGAAAAAATAAAATTTTCAGTGTAACGATACCATATACAGACATACACGACAGCCAAAGACCTTTGAGTCTAATGATACAAAGTTACGCCTTTGTGGCACTAGGTTCTGGGTTTTGCATTCCGCCTTGCTCTGAAAAAAATAAAAAAAAAAAGGGCGTACGCAATAGTACAAAATGATATTCACAATCAGGTATGATTGTTATATTGTAATGTGTTAAATATTTCTGTTCACATGCATCACGTTAAAAGATTCCCCGAAATATCATTTCATGAAATTTCCGAAGTCTCCAATACTAACATGTTTTTTTTTTTCGATATTTTTTTCCTTTTTTTAAACAACTATAGAATTGTTTATTACTAGTTTAATGCTTCACGAAATGTACTTTAATCACCCAAATTTCGGGATGCATCATACTTGAAGAAACATATTACCATTACAGATTCCTGATTTATATTTCCTTGACAGACTATATACACCAAATTCTTTGGCAAGTGCACAGAGAGACTTGCTTCGTCAGAACAGATAATATACACTTGAAGATAGAATATGTTATTATACTATTGTGTTCTTCCAAATTATTGGTGCTTTTGCATCAAGAAATGTACAACAATTAACTCCAATTGTTAATTATCACAATTGCTTTAATAACATCACATCTTGCCAACTTTTACGATTTCTAATTGTTATCAGAATTATTTTAAGGGAGAGACTTAAGTACTTAATCTGATATGCTTAATATACTTTTATTAATCAAATAGTGATGAGTAGACTTTAATGTGCTAATAATATTAATAAAAAGATTTTGTTATAAAATAAATAATATATAAAAGATCCACATGATCAATTTAAGATTGATAATTTCGAACATCTCAGAAATGATATGTATCATGTCTGGGAACCATTATTTCTTACGAAACCTACTATGTAACTTAACATGGGGAGAACTAAATAACACTACTTTTATATTATCATTGGCGAGATTCATACCCAAAAGCAATTGAACTGAAGGGTTGACGAATTCAAAGAGGCAATAGTCAGACAACAGAAATCTAATCCTGCATATGAAGGAATACCTATCTATAAAGCAAGATATCAAATAAGTGGATAACTATTCAAACAGAAGCTAAAAGAAAGAAACACAAAGATGAGCATTGCTCGAAGATGGAGGCTGCTAAGTGGGAAAAACCATTGGGAGGGTCTACTAAACCCTCTTGACATGGATCTGCGAAGGTACTTAATTCACTATGGACAAATGGCACAAGCCACATATGATACTTTCATCTCGGAAAAAGCTTCCAAGTATGCAGGAGCAAGCAAGTACACCAAGAAGAACATGTTCGCGAGGGTGGGTTTGGAGAATGGGAATCCCTTCAAGTACAGTGTGACCAAGTATCTGTATGCAACATCACAAATCGAAGTTCCTGAAGCGTTTGTGATAAAACCATTGCCAGAGGATTGTTGGAGCAAGGAATCAAACTGGATAGGGTATGTTGCTGTGGCGACAGATGAAGGCAAAGCTGTGTTAGGAAGGAGGGATATTGTGATTGCTTGGAGAGGAACAATAAGAACGTTGGAGTGGATTAAAAATTTAAAATTCCAATTGGTGTCTGCTCCTGTACTTTTTGGTGGCAAGGGTTTGGCTGATCCTAAAGTGCATCATGGTTGGTACTCTATGTACACTTCAAATGATCCTCAATCTCGATTCAATGCAACCAGTGCAAGAGACCAGGTATTTGTTCTCTCTCCCTCTCTCACAGGTCTGGATTAGCGACATTAGATCCAAATTAATCTGTTGAGTCAGGTCAAGTACCAAATAAAGGGTATTTGTACAAAGCGATATGTGCATTTATGAACAAAGTCAAGTTATCATGGTGTTTGTTCCCTAGCCCTCTTCTCAGAGTTTACCCCCTAAATGTCCCTAACGGGGAGGAGAGTAGGACTCTCTCCAGCCCAATCTACTTAGACACAGGTACACTAGTAGTACAGTCATCCCAAATTAACCTCTCCAATGATCTTGCTTGTATTGAGATTGATCTCGTGACCGCTTCTACAAAGCAAAGAAGCTGGCAACATTGGTAGCACTGATTTGATCGGTGAAACTTACCATTAACCTTGGGTTAAATTAATCTATATATCAATTGATTCAATTTCCAATTTTGATTCAATTCACTTGCTAGTTTTTCCCGTAACTTTTCATAAGATTCCACTTTACTTTGAAGAGGCCATAAACGTTATGTCCCCACCTTCTGAAATCAGTACTAGTCTCATTTTTAGGCTTTAAATAGTATAAGTCACACAAATTCTTGTTACTGCAGCCATCATATTTTTAACAAGAAAGAAAATAAAGAACAAAGAGTATTGGAAGGATGCCATATCTAACTCAAAACTTTACTCAAATTTTGAGTCCTTGCACTATATATATCTATCATTAACCGTAGTTTTATTCAATTTGAGAACAATGGCGGACCTAGGCATAGTTGAGGGTGGGCAAGTGCCCTTACTCAACTTGGAAAAATTTACAAGGAAGAGGTAAAAATTTTAAAAATTTTCCCCATTGCCCTAATAGTTTTGAACCCATTAAACCCAAACTAAAATATATTTGAGTTCAAAAATTGTTTAGGTCTTTTATATTTCACTCAAGTTCAAAATATTTAAAATTTTGAGCACATTATATTTAAATTTAGATTGTTTTTATGAAAATATCATTTTAATTTTTCCTTTCCTAATATTATTTTACAAAACTAAATATTTATTTTATAAATATTAAATTTTTTTATTATTTTTAATTTTTTTTAATTATGTCCGCACTGGCTCAGGGTCCTGCGTCCGCCACTGTCTGAGACTTCCCTCTAAATTCAAGTCCACTGAAAATTGACATCCCTTTCTTGTGTAGATCCAATATCTAAGATCTTATGAGACTCAAAGAAAACATCTTGATGATAGTAATTAATGCTCTAAGTGCAGGTCCTAAGTGAGATAAGAAGGCTGGTAGATTTATACAAGGACGAAGAAATCAGCATAACTGTAGTGGGACACAGTTTAGGAGCTGCACTTGCAACCCTAAACGCAGTGGACATAGCTCGAAATGGCTACAACAAGCCAACAGACACACCAGACAGAGCATATCCAGTAACAGCCTTTCTATTTGCGTGCCCTCGAGTTGGGGAATTTATCTTCAAATGGGTTTTCGATGGGCTGAAAGATCTGAGAGCCTTGAAGGTTGAGAATATTCTTGATGTTGTTCCAAAGTATCCATTTTTTCCCTATCTTGAAGTGGGTGAAGAACTGAAGATGAATACTCAGAAATCTCCGTACTTGAAGAGTCCAGGGACTGTCAGTACTTGGCATAACATGGAGAGTTATCTGCATGGAGTTGCAGGAACACAAGGACTTGATGGAGAGTTTAAATTAGTGGTGAATCGTGATATTGCACTTGTAAACAAGGGACAAGATGCTTTGAAAGATGAGAATCTTGTTCCTGTATCGTGGTGGGTTGAGAAGAATAAGGGAATGGTTCAACAAGAAGATGGTTCGTGGGAGCTGATGGATCATGAGGTGGATGCATTCTGATTGATGACAATAATTGTATAGCTGTTGTTGACTTCTGATTCGTTAAGATTATTTATACATCGTGGTTGGGTATTTAAAATTGTCAAGATTCTGAGTGTTGCAGTAAAATATAAACATTAATTGTATTTTTTTTCTTTTTATTTATCAAATTGCGGAATCCATTTACATTGTAACCCAAAATGATTCTGCAAGTTGAAGTAAAATATCTATAATGTTGCATATGGGTTCATTTACTTTGGTATCCATGTGTTTTTGTCTACTTGGTTCCACATCCTTCTTTATTCATCGAACGTCTGTGTACTTGACGAACTATATAAAGGTGGATTCAGAACGGGGAAAAAAAATGGAAATTAGAAATCAATAATTACGACATCTCACATTTATAGAAAGTAGCGTATGTACCAGCTAGTTAATTACTTTATGTCTCAAAATTGGGATATTCAAACTGTTTGTACCATTGGAGCTGTGAAAGACCGTTGTTGAGGAAAGTATCACTTTATGGTGCTTTTAGAGCAAGATTATAATAACCTACAGTAAATTTGCATGTTATACTATCCATCTTAATTTTACATTTGAATAGTTTCTATGCTATTTTTTTGAAAGGATATCATTGCAGACTTTAGATTTAAAAAAGGAAGTTTTTTCTTTTTTTTTTGGAAAAAGAAGCTTTATTAAACGTGTTCGTTAGTGTGCAATTTAATTTAATTTTATAAAAATTAATTCATTTATTTAAATTTTATATATTTTTTAATAAAAATTAAAAGTATTTAAATTTTAGTTTTTACAAAAAATTCAGGAATTTAAACTTCCAGGTAATAAAAAAAATCTAGCAGATCAAATCATAAATGGCTCAATTAAAAAAAGCTACAAAAATCTAATTTAAAATTAAGAAAACTATAAGAATATGAAAATTAATTTTTCATACACACGTAAATATTTGTGTCATTTCATACACTGATAGATCTAGAAGCTACTACCCCATAAGTTTGGGAGTGGTTTGCAGAACTGCTACCATCTGTGTTTGAAGTGGTTCAAACTGCTACTAAAGGGATTAAGAACCGCTATTAAAGTCGTCGTCTTCTACCTAATTTCATTAGTCTCATCAACGAAAAACTACCACATTAAATTTTTAAATATTAATAAAATTTTTTTAAATATGAACGTATTAAGTTTAATTTTTTAAAAAATAATCATTTGATATTAATGGCATTAAGGTTAGGAGTTTAAACAAATACTTAACAAAATTAATAAACTAAATCGGAACCTTGTATAAAATTATAGAATTAAAAGTATACTTTAGACAAATTGTATTTTGTGTGGATTGGGGTGCAATTTAACATTTTAAGAAAAATAAAAATAAGCAAATTTTCAAAGAAAATTAAGCCACTCGAGAATACATTAGTCAGTTTAATTTTCCCATCTAGAAATATATACGCACACAAACATTATGAGTTTCTTTTAAATATTATTCTTCCACTAATATTATAATGTTGAAACGCAATATTATCAACTTTCTAAGTGAAAATCCAGTGAAGAATTTTTTTTCCTTTACTAGAATCAGTAGCATCTCTGCCAACAACAAAGACTATTTTTTTTTTAATATAGAGGTAAAATGAAAACTTCTCCGCTTATTTAAAGGAAATTAAAAGTTCCCTTATCATTCAGGTGAACGTGAGATGGTATCCATTTGAAGACGTTGAACAAAATAGAATACGAAGATAAAGACAAATTATATTATATGGTAGAGCCATTAATGGAAATCTACAAAATAATAAAATACTATATCTCCTTATTAAAATATTGGAAACTTTGCTTGCAACAATAAAATTGCATAAATAAATTCCAATACTTTTAACATTAAACCCGATGTCGTCATCGTCATCATCGTGCTTGCCAATATAATAATGGGGTAAAATGCCATGACGTGACTGAACCTTACAATGAGCAGACTAAAAATATATTAATATTAATTTATATTATATATAGCACGTGCATGAGATTTTTCGATGAGAAGAACTGACATTAAAATAAAAATATCTGTTGTCGTATTATGTAATCCAGGAGCATGATTCGATTAGAAATTTCTACATTCCCTATATGGAGCTAGGTCTCTTCCTTTTCTTCGAAAATCAACCTGAACATATGTACATGGGGAATGCATTGGTTCAATGTCTCTTGGAAGGTTAAATTCAAACTATATTCAACAAAAAGAGGGAAAAACGAAGAAAGAAAAAAACGACAGACGGAAGTTTGGTGATTGGTCGTTTGTCGGTCTTGGGTGGCAACGACGCCGACCTCAACCTGGCACTCGTCATTTGTGAAAAGGGGGAAATTGTACTTGGGCTATGTTTTGTAAAATTTTCATATAGCTCGCTATTTTTATAAATAAAATATCATTACCACGGTCCCAATTTATAATGAGAGAATGATAGAGAGGTTTAAAAATGATCAATTAATTTAAGTTAAATTTAAGTATTAAATTTTAAGAATTTATAATTTAATTTCTCAATTTTATAACTTTGTTAAAATAATTTATAATATTTTAAATTTTAACAGAAAAAATATTTTTTTTATTCTTCAATTGTTAAAATTTGAAAAAAAAGTTGCAAATTCATCACAACGCAATTGTAAAATTAAGATATTGAGTTGCAAATTTTTGAGATTTAACACTTAAGACATAACTTAAATTAATTGATTCTTTTGAGATTTCTTTGTCATTCTCCCATTTATAATTATCTCTTTCTAATTTATAAGGCATATTTAGGAAAAACCATTACATATACCAATAAAGTTAATTAAAAACATTTTATAACTTTACTTTTTTAAAATAAAAATATAAACTTTTAAAAATACTTCTCATTTAATATACCATTTATGAAAAACTATTACAGAGAGAAAATATATAGAAAGTATAATGTTAAAAAAGTATCATTAATAAAATTTTTTTCAAAATATATTTTATTTTGGGACGTCAAATCTTGAATTTGGATCTAACGAATGATATAAATGCATTCATTCAATGAATGTTTCACATGGCATGGAAACAAGTATTCGATCAAGATCTCATCATATATATAATACTCAAAAAATACCAACAAATTTAATCTTTATGGTAATTTTTTTAGGATTTAATTTAGAGATCCTGAGCCCGACACTAAAAATATTGATGAAACCTAATTACTATAATTGAGACATTCATTTACATATAGGCTACTCACCAAATATAAATCCCCGAATCTTCTCCAAAAGTAGTGTCTTATAATTTGGGGTGAAAAGAATAATTTTCAATAAATATTCAAGTCATCTTTTTTAAATTGCCTCCCATTATAGAAGACATGAATAGTAGAAAATCAAAAGCAGATCTGATTTGTCATCGACCATGCCTAAAAATCAAAGGCATCAACCTCATCCTCGTCTCACTGTCTCTTGCCATGGATGAACGGTGAAGACCAAACTCACTGTTGCTTTAGTTAATTAATTCATCATGTCATGGTGACGACAAAGTTGTGGGTCTCGTTAATTAATTGGTTCCTCCACTGCAAATCTAGATCTGTGAGAAGGGACTACTTGTGAAGATGAATAATGACACCAGATTTGCAAGGGACACGAGCAGGACCGGTGATGCCATCGGATTCTTCAATAATGGCAGAGGGTGAGGCGGAGGTGCGACGGGTTATTTAGTGATGAAGATAGATGGAGAGGTAAAAGCCAGAGGGTGACATTTCTGGTATTAAATTAGGGTAAAAATGAGAGGTATGATTATGTCTATAAAATTAATGACCAAGGATATTTTGGTCCAGAGATAACCATTGAGAGAAAAGGTAAGAAAATAAGAGGTATGATTTTGTCGATTGAAATTTCATAGAATAACCACTGAGAGACAACTCTATTCTCAAGTAGTTTACTTGAAATTCACGATTATATTCTCTGTGATTTGAGTAGTCTCATTCATAATGTATGAAATTAATTAATTTGATTTTTTTTTCTTTTTCTCATAACTGGACTACTAAAATATTCAGTTATGAACTATAGGTAAATTACTTGCAAAAATCAGGTCATGACTCACTTGGGAATGGGGTTGTGATTTCTCAGGTGGTTTAGCTTAAATTAAATTGATAATATGTGATTTCAATAATTCCATTCACAACTTGTGGAATTAATTTGAAAATGTCTTTTTCTCTCACATATGGAATATTTAAATTGTATGGCTACTTATGAAATCTAGGTAAGTCACTTCTCTTAATGATCCTTCAATGAAATTTCAATAATTGAAGTTTAGTAATTGTACTCTCTTTTTTAAAAATATAGGAAAATTCCAACTGACTCACAAAGTTTAAGAAAGTTACCTTGATAATTATGAATGAAATTGAAATATTTGGACTAAAATGTCCTTGTAAAGGAATAATTTAGAAAAAAACGTAATTAATGCTTCTTGAAATTTGTAATTTTTTTTTATATAATACAGGGTAGTTTCCCTTATATTTGAAATCAAACGGAGTAATTCTGAATAAGATTATGCTGTAATTCAATGATGGGTTTGGTGAGGATGACTTCTAGCCTCTGTTTTGTTCAATTGGAATGGAAGAGAGAAGGGGAAACTTCAATGAGTTTGATTCAAAAAAAAAAAAGACAAATAATGACGTTATAAAATGTTAATAGAGAGAAAAGATGTAAGAGAAAAAATTTAAAAAATTAATTAAAACTGCGATATTCATACTTGAGGTTTAACAAACTTAATACTCCCTCCATTCCAAATTATAAGACTTTTTTAAAGAAGATTTAGCATCCCAAATATAAGACATTTGATAAAAATAAGGTTTATTAATGATACTTTTTTAATATTACCCTTCTCATATATTCTCTCTCTTAAATATTCTTTTACTAATGGAGTATTAAATGAAGGGTATTTTTAAAATTTTATATTTTTATCTTGAAAAACTAAGGTTGTAAAATATATTTAATGAGCTTTATTGGTATGTGAAATTTTGTTTAAAAGTGTCTTATAATTTGGATCAGAGGGAGAATATTTTATTTGCAGATTTCATGTCCGGACACTTTTGATAAATCTCTGAGGCCAATAAAACACCCTTTTAGCCCAGAAATTTCCAAGGTACACTTTAGTCACCAAGATTTTTGGATCCAATTATTTTCTAATTTATATTATTTCTGCCTTACGCTATAAATAGTATATGACAATCTGACTTTACAAGTAAGATCTCTGAAACAATTTTATCCTACTATGCCATTAAAAAGAGCATATAGATCTGCATCATCTGAAGATATGATATATTGTTGAAGATAGAATTTGCTACTAAACAATATTATTCAACTTAACTTCTAAAAAAAAAAAAAAGCTATTAGAGGTGCTGACGAGGATTGTTGAATCCTGAAAAGAGAAGTAAAAGAAGATCAAAGAACACCAATAAAATTATTGAATGAGACCTTCTATAATAATATATGTGAAGATTTGATTGCTAACAATGTATAATAATGTCATGTAATCCATATATATAAAAGATTGGAATCAACTTTTACAATTTCTAATTTTTATCAGAATTTCTTTAATATATAGTTGGGAAAATAACAGAAAAATCCATTTAAATTATGAAAATGATAGATTGGTCCCATGAAATGGCATAATTCTCTTGGAGTCCCATGAGATTTTTTTGTCATTAGGAAATTAGAAAAAAATGACTAAATTGCCTTCAAATAAAACAAAAATATCTGGAGTTGCAAATGACTATTGAATTGTTGTGAATTTAGAAACAAAAGTTATGAATAAAAAGTTATAAATTTTCAACACCTTATGCATATCAAGACCTGCAGATCCGGACTTACAAATAGCTATTAAATTGTTGTGAATTTAGAAATAAAAATTATTAATATATGAATAAAAGTTGTGAATGGAAAGTTGTGAATTTTTTTAAAATGAATAATGGGCAAAAGTGTCATTTTTTATAATTTCGTAATGATAGAAATATGGGAGAATGATATTAAAGTCCCACATAAGAGAATTAATTACTACAAGGTCCATTGATAACTGAACTAAATTACATTGACAACACAACCAGTTGTCAATCTAGTTTAGTTCAGTTGTCAATGGACCTTGCAGTAATTAATTCCCTTATATGGGACCTAACTATAATTCTCCCTAGAAATATCTCTTGGGACTTTAGAAGAATTATGCCATTTTGTGGGACCAATGCGTCATTTACATAATTTAAATAGATTTTTCTGTCATTTTTCTTATATAATTTTGAATTGTTAGAATTAATGTGTTAATATATGTTCAACTTGCTGCCAAGGTTTAAGCCTCCTAATTTGGAATATTTCAAAATCGGTGTGAATAGTGTGGAAACCATTATTGGTCACGAAACCTATAGTTTATCTCTAGATGCTAAGAACTAAACAATAAACACTTGTCATATATTATCATCGAAGAGATTCACACCCAAAAGAAATCGAACAAAGGATTTGATTTCAATTAGTCAAAGGAACGAAAGTCAGACAAATGAAAAATAATTCTGCACATGAAGAGAAACCTATCCATAAAGCAAGAGTTCAAGACGTGGATAATTACGATCACACAGAAACACAAAGATGAGCAATATTGCTCGAAGATGGAGACTCCTAAGTGGGCAAAATCATTGGGAGGGTCTTCTAAAACCTCTTGACATCGATCTGCGAAGGTACTTAATTCACTATGGAGAAAGGACACAAGCCACGTACGATACTTTCATCTCAGAAAAAGCTTCCAAGTTTGCAGGAGCAAGCAAGTATGCAAAGCAGAACTTATTTGCAGGGGTGGGTTTGGAGAATGGGAATCCCTTCATGTACAGTGTGGCCAAGTATCTGTATGCAACATCACAAATCGAAGTTCCTGAAGCTTTTGTGATAAAACCATCGCGAAAGGATGCTTGGTGCAAGGAATCAAACTGGATAGGGTATGTTGCTGTTGCGACAGATGAAGGCAAGGCTGTGCTAGGAAGGAGGGATATTGTGATTTCTTGGAGAGGAACATTAAGAACGTTAGAGTGGATTAACGATTTTCAATTCCTGTTGGTGCCTGCTCCTATACTGTTTGGTGGTAAGGGTTTGGGTGATCCTAAAGTGCATCAAGGTTGGTACTCCATGTACACTTCAAGTGATCTTCAATCTCGATTCAATACAACCAGTGCAAGAGACCAGGTATTTGTTTATTTTTCTTTTGTTTCTTTCCCCTATGGGAGCAAACTGCTCATACATGGTGGCTATAATTTTAAAATTCTGCAAACTAATCATGTCGGTTATATTTAGACTTAATCTTCTCTGTAGTTTTAAAATTTTTTGATCCAACATGTTGCAATTTTTCTCAAAATTGTTCATAAGATTCCATCTTAATTTTTACTTCCAATATATGTATATAGTATTCCCACTGAAGCAAAAATTGAAGTTCCACACACATACAATTTATGCTGTACATAATACAGAAGATTAAAAAAAAAAAGATGAAAAATGTGGTCATACTAAAGGAAAATGACTTCTGAAGGAAAGAAATCCCTTTCTTGAGTAGATCCCGATATCTGACAACTTACTAGACCAAAATAAAACATCATAAGTGAGATAAGAAAACAATTTCCAATATTTCTATATATGACACTAATTAATGCTTTATTTGCAGGTCCTAAGTGAGATAAGAAGGCTATTAGATTTATACAAGGATGAAGAAATCAGCATAACTGTAGTGGGACACAGTTTAGGGGCTGCACTCGCAACCCTAAACGCAGTGGACATAGCTCGAAATGGCTACAACAAGCCAACAAACGCACCAGAAAGAGCATGTCCTGTGACAGCATTTCTATTCGGGTGCCCTCGAGTTGGAGAATTCATCTTCAAGAAGGTCTTCAATGAGTTGAAAGATCTGAGAGCCTTAAGAGTAGAGAATATTCTTGATATTGTTCCGAAGTACCCCCTTTTGCCCTATTTAGAAGTGGGTGAAGAACTGAAGATGAACACTCAGAAATCTCCATACTTGAAGAGTCCAGGGACAGTCAATACTTGGCATAACTTGGAGTGTTACCTTCATGGCATCGCAGGAACACAAGGACTCGATGGAGGGTTTAAATTACTGGTGAATCGTGATATTGCACTAGCGAACAAGCGTTATGATGCTTTGAAAGATGAGAATCATGTTCCTGCGTCTTGGTGGATTCAGAAAAATAAGGGAATGGTTCAACAAGATGGATCGTGGGAGCTGATGGATCATGAAGATGGTGCCTTTTGACTCGTCAACGTTATATAAAAATACATAAAAAAAGCGTCGTTTCGTGTTCAAAATTGTTATGAATTATGATTCTGAGTGTTCTAATAAAATATCGACAATGCATGTCATTTTAATTTCTGTAATAGTGGAGGAATCCATTTACATTGTAACCCAAAATGATTCGGTAAGTTGGAATAACATATCTACTAGGATATTGCATAATGCACGTGAGAGTTCTTTTGATAATACGGCATTGACGTTGTCTCTTTTCTTTTTCTTTTTCTTTTTCTTTTTCGTTTTTGGGTAGACAGTCTCTTTTCCTTTTGTCTTTCATAATTCAGTTCTATACTTTGGCTTATATGTTTTTTTTTTTTGCCCAATTGTATCCACTTCCTTCATCCATTTGACGTTTACACTGTTCAATCATTGAAAGGTGGATTCATAATGGGAAAAAAAGGAAATTAGAAATCAATAACTACGATAACTTATTTCGCATGCATGGAAAGTACATTGAGAATAGAGGCATATTATATGTACCAGCTAGTTAATTAGTTATGTCCGAAATTGGAAGGTTGAAACTGTTATTTTCAGGAGTTGCGAATTTATTTTTGGCCATCGATGAAAAACCATGGTTGAAAAATATCTAGTTCTTTCAGAATAAGATTAATATTAAACTATAATTTGTATACTGTATTATCCACACTACCCAAAAGAGGGTAAATTCTCTTGGTACTTACTAGTATACAGAAATAGACTTTAGGATCGCTCATATAGAAACGCTCCTATAATTAAGGGGAGGTGATATGGGAAGAATTTATTTCTGTAAACACTACCATTAATTGTCATTTACTACACAACGAAAAAATCACTACAAGCAATATCAATCTCTAATCATTTTCCAAACTCTCCACAAGCAAAAACAACCAAGAAATAATTACCCATTACAAGAAAAATAAAGAAAGCACGAGAACATTTAGAGAAAATACCCGAGAGAATAACAATGGCTAACAGAACAATGGGCCCGAGAGGAAAATAAGAAATCTAATGCCCCGCCACTTTGATTTAAACAACAAAATATGACGGGTATTTAAAATATTGTCATATTTATAGCCTCTAAAACGACATGTACAAGTCCCTGTCATTTTAGAGCCCATAAGATGTTTGGAGGGGGAGCCCAAATATAGTATGTATTTATTTACTTGTCATATTTGGGCTTCTCCTACATATGATGGGTAAATCAAAACATGTTATAGTTGGTTCCCCTTTTTTTCAAAAAATAAAAAATTATGAACTCTAAATATGATAGGTATTTGATTTACCCGTCGTATTTACTAAAACTTAAATATGGCAAGTTTTATATACTCATCATATTTGAGCTTCTCCTATTAACGTTTGACTAATATGTCACGCGTTCTTGTTTATAGGAGTGTTTTGCTAATATATTTTAATTTTTTTATTAGTGATTATAGACTAGAACCACTACTTTCTAGCCACTTTTGTAACATTCCAAATTGTGGCTCAAAAGCTCAAGAACTTGTCTTAATTTAGGGAGCTATTAAGTCAAGTTAAGTAGGAGTTTCGCCGGTGCCTTGTAAAGATAGAATGCTTTTCAAGAACTAAATAAAAAAATAAAAGGTTTTCTAGGGCCAAGGTGTAAATGTTCTTAAAAATTATGGAATAGTCCTCAAAGTTAAACAATAAACTATTTAAAGTCCAGAAGAGTTCATGATTGGCTAGAAGGAATAAGTAAGACCTAAAGAGCAACAAAAGCATCTAAGATTAGTTTCTGAAAATAATCAACATAATTGTTAGCTTAAACAAAGATAAAGTTATTTGACAACTTATCTTTAAATCCCAAGTCTCTTAGAAAATGATCACCGTTAGATTCTAAAGGTTGCAATAAATCTAAAAAGGGCTCAAAAAGATCACAGTTAAATGTTAAGATCATAGTTAAATCTCATGATCATAGTAGATTTAGTATAAAGTTGTTAAGCCACAAAGTATAATTGTTCTATAGGAAAATGATAATCTATGAGTTCAGAATATGACATTTTAGCTTGGTTAACTTTTACAAAGAGAGTATATAATGAATTAATACATCTAGTTCTTCGTTGGACAAATAATTAAATTCTAATTCTGAGATTGAAATAAAAAAACCGAAAAGTTAGAAAAAAATACCTCTGTATATGATTCAAGAATGTTAATCTTATTAGAAGCATGATTCGATTAAAAATTCCCCGTGTGAAGGTCTATTCTGTAAATTCAACCAAAACATAAATATGGGGATGCATTTCTTCCATGTCATAGGAAACAAATTAGGAATTATATTTAATTTATGAAATAAATAAGGGTTAAATAACAATATGTTTAGAAGCGTCTTGGACATTAAATATTTGTTAAACGTAATATTTCCTTCAACATTTGAAAACACAATACAAGATTGTCTTTATTGCAAAAAAATATTAATTTTGACCAATATATAGTTGACTAAAAAGATTATAAAAAGGACTTCAAAAATTATAAAAAAGGAATCAAAAAATTATAAATAAGTGTCTTATAAAAAATTAATATGGGTTAAGTTTACTAAATCACAAATAAATACCAAGAGACAATTTTATTTCTTTCCATCTTGTTATAATTTAATATTGATCTCTTGTTATTTATTTGTAATTTAGAGAACTTAATTAATATTAATTTTCTTATAAGGTACATATTTATAATTTTTTAGATTTTTTTGTAATTTTTAAGATTTTTCTTTGCAATTTTCTAGTTTACTAACTGTAAAAATTAATTTTGTTAATGGTACACAATGTACCGTTTTCAAATGTTGAATTTACACACACAAAAAGAGTTTCTGAACATATAATGTAGAATAAAATTGTCCGTTAACCTCATAAATAAAATAAAAAACAAAACACACAGGTTTGGTGGCTGGTCGTTATCGGTCTCAACCGCGGGTGGCCATCGCCCAACGTGAAATCCATCATTTAATACACCCCATTCTGAATATAAAAGATGCTAGCACTGTTGCAACAAGGATGTTAAACTTGTGAGAGTTTGCTTCTGTTAACAAATAGCTATTAAAATATAAATTTGTTTAAGAATATTTTAACCAAGCTTGCATTTATTCTGAGTTTATGAATTAGTTGACACGATTTTGTAAGTTACAAATATAAAAATGATAAACTCAGAGGTAAACTCGTAAGTTTAATCGAGTTTGTATCTAGTCTGAATTTATGAGTGAGTTGACATGATTTTATAAGTTAAAAACGTAAAAACGTTAAACTCGTAGAGTTAATTTAAGAATTTGACAACTATGGTTGCAACCATCTTTTGAATGGCGATGGTTTCGCACAATAAACACAACAAAATTGCCTTGATGACCTCGAGCTGAGTACTCTATTGTCTCAATCCTTTTTTTCTTTGATGAAATTATCCAAATCATTAATATATGATGAAGTTAACAAAATTCATATTTATTAAAAAATATTAGTTATAATTTTGAAATTGTAAAAAAAAATTATAACTTTTCAATTCTACCCTTCTTTATAATTAATGAGCACAATACAATAATGTTGTTTAGGAATTTAAATGATAATGAATAAAAAAAGGAGTATAGTTGGAAAAAAATATATTAGTTATCCTAACTTTGTCTTATATTTAGAATTACTTTTTTAAAATTTAATCTTTTTTATACAAAAAATCCATCTTATATTAAAAACTGGAAGAAATATTTTATAATCTAGCAAACAAAAGAATCTGATTTTATCGGCGGATTGCCTCGGCTAAACGGGAAAAAGCAAGAAAAAGGAGAAAAATAATAATATAATGATATGCAAAAAGACGAACACATCACAAAAAGATTTTCAAAATGAAAAAAAGATTATTTCTGTTCACATCATCATCATAATCAACATAATATTTTTGTTCACGACATGTTAATCAACTAAAGATTTTTTGAGTCTTTTTTTTTAAGAAAAGGATCCTGAAGTCTCTATTGACAAGTTGCTTTTATATTTATTTCTTTTAGGGTTTTTAAACAACTACATTTATTAATTACGGTTTTAAAAACACAACACAATACTAGCATATAAAACACTGTACGTGGATTAATTTATTTTTGGCCAATAAAGCACCACTTCTAATATAGAAATTCATGAATTAAACTTTAGTCACCCCAAACTCTTCTGGATGCATCCCAGTTCAATATTTTTAAACACTTTTACACCCAATGAATTAGTTAATTGTCTTTAAAACTACACATTCTTTTCATATTTATTTTTATTTAATGGTGTTTCAGTTAGAAAACGTTATTAATGACACCCCTCATTAAGGGTATTTAAAAAAAAAAACCTTATAGTATTTTTTAACATGATATTTTGAAAAAAATTGTTATAATATTGAATGGAAAGACTATATATATTCTTGAAGTGTTTGGAACTTGGCATAAATTGGAGGGCTCATATTAGGGAGTTGATGCTTCGAAGTTTGAGAGATGAAAATCTTGTTCCTGCGTCGTAATGGTGGGTTGAGATGAATAAGGGAATGGTTCATCAAGAAGATGATTCGTGGCAGCTGATGGATCATGTGGTTAAATAAATAAATAAACGTGGTTTCGTATTTAAAATATTGTAATGATTCCGAGATGTTCCAATAAAAGTATAACAATAGATTTGTTTTAAATTTTTTTTTAGTAGTGGAAGAACCCATTTACATTGTAAGCCAAAGTGATTCAATAAGTAAAAATAAAATATATATTTTCTCTTCTTTATAAATTCCTTTTAATATGATTTATTAAAATAAAAAAGTGAGAAAACTTAAATTTCATTTATTTTTATATAAAAATTCAATAAAATTTTAATTTTATCCTTATTAAATATGCTTATTTTAAAAATAAAATATTTTAACATTTGAAACTTTTTTGATAAGCAAAATTTAAAGATGGACATAAAAATTATAAAAAAATGCCCTATAAAAAAGATAAAAACAAATACTCTTCTTCTATATCGTATAAACACAGAGAAGGATACTGCATGTGAATTCATATAATATGACATTGGCTATATTGCATGTGAATTCTTTTAATACGACATTGGCATTCTCTCTTTCGTTTTTGTCCTACATAAATAAATTCTACACTTCCTAGCTTACTCCCTCATGCCCTGTTTATAGGGGGAGGAAAAGGACATTTTTACTCTTATTTATAAATTGTTATTAAATTT